AGAGGGTAAAGGAAATGGTGAAGCAAGTGAAGATGAACATGGAGATGAACAGATTAAAGAGATAGAATAGAGGATTGACTTGAGAGATATCTGTGATTGTTTGTGTGCCTGCAGGTGTATGTGTGAATATTTTTTCAAAAATATAAAAGAAAACATCCACAGAAAGACATGATTTAATCCAATATCCTAAAGTGTTATTTTTCTTCACCAAGAGCGTATGTGAGGTAAAATAATTGACAGTCATTTGTGTCACATTTACTTGGACAAGTGGAGTGATGGGCCCTTTTCTGAAAGAGGGGAAACAGAATCTTAATGCATTTTTATTTTGCCTTTTATTTTAGAAAGGTTGCTTTTATCAAGAGCTTAAGCACATTTTCTGAAACGCTGTTACTATTCTGCACTTAACACATACATTTATACTATGCAGCACAACACCTAGATTCTTACAAAAGGCCATCATTCAATCAAAATATTTACTTGTGTGTCAGAAGAAAATAAATTCATTGGCACTACTACTACTACAATGTCATTTCTTTTTATCATTTGCCTTTATTGCACATTATTTAGTCTATTTACATTAAATCCATCTGTATATGGTTTACTTTAAACAGTGCAGTGTGTGTAGCTAAGACACTCAGAACTCTATTGACTCTATTGATATGTGATTCTTGTCAGCTTCAGGATTATACCCAGCAACCGTCTCAGTGACATGTGGTTTTTCAAAACACTGAACGCACAGTGAAATCTACGTGAACATCTATGTGGAGTCCATAAAGAGTCCATTTCATAGCTGAGGAAGGCCTCTAATATCAACATCCCTGTTCCAAGAATCAGCAATTATAAACAAGAGAAACAATGCAAATCACAAAGTAAAAAACATCTGGATGTTTCAATTAAAAGTATGTAAGACAAGAATATTAATACAGCTACACACACTGCACTGTTTAAAGTAAACCATATACAGATGGATTTAATGTAAATAGACTAAATAATGTGCAATAAAGGCAAACAGCATCATTTTTAAAAAACTTGGGCCCTTACAATTTATAACACAGAAAGAATATAATGCATAACAATAATGCATTCTTGTCTATACATGAACCTCGCATGCAAAGATTTTTTAAACCTCCACTGAGTTCACTTTGGTGCCCTGTGAGCTAACAGATTTGAAACACTTGTACTACACACTGCATACAGTTTATATCAATTCAAGCTTTTATTCTGAACTTGACAAAATGTGTTGTTATATGTTGATTCACAGGATTTAAAATAAAAACATTACAATTATGTTTTGAGTGTTTGGCTTTCCCCTTATTTCTTAAGTGTTTTTCCATAAGCCAAGATGTCAGTGTGTTCGTCTTCAGTTGTTCATAGTTGCCAGATACTGACATGCCACTGCTTTACAAACAGCTGTCATTCCATGGGTCTTTTCATTTGAGACATGTTGGCATGTAATACTAGGAAAAGCACAGGTGTAATTGATAAGATTAATGATGGCTGCTACAGTTTCAGGGTCCTGGTATCATGCATGCTGACACTTGAACTTGAACAGAGCAAAGCCATCAATATTGTTAAGCCTGATGATTTTCTATTTTTTGGTTATTTTCTATAAATCTCATACAGAGTCTAAAAACAACAATACATTTTGTCTATTCACCATAATGTTTTGGCAGTCCAGATCCTGGTTTAACTTATTTGTTTAAAAAAAAGCTATCACATTTGACACTTTCTGAAGTAAGGAAGAGCCAACTGCATTTGTGGGTGACTTCTGCTCTGTTTACACTACTCAGCTACTCTGCTAACTTCTGCTGTGGAAAAAGGCATATTGGCAGGATGTTCACTTCTTTTGTCCTGTTTTTTTTTCATAAACAATTCTTTAGTCTGGTGGAGTTTTGCTGCCACCAGGCCTGTCATGTCACTATGTTATCATAGTTTGCTAATATGACATTGCGTGATCTCTGTCTTAGGCACCCAGTGAGTACGAGGCCAATCCAGAGATGCTCTTCTACCGTATCACGCACCTTACGCGTGGTAAACAATACCACATCTGGGCTGCAGCCGTGACAACTGCTGGCCGAGGCAACATCAGCGCAAAGGTCACAGTGGAGCCTGCTGGGAAAGGTAGGCCCTCTAGGCAAGCTTGTAGGAGAGCAAGAGAAGGGGGAAAGAGATTTCTTTAAAGGTTATGAGAGAGCGCACCCCAAAGGTGAAATGGCAATATGATCTCCTGCCCACAGATCACTTTCATCACTCTCTTTCCTTTCCTGTCTGCTATCTATGCTATTGATTGACAGCCCTAGTATCGATTGAGTAGCAGCTATGTTGCAAGAAATGCTGTTGTTAATTATGTGGTGATGAACAGAGCCTATCCTGTGAAATTACCCTTGGGGAGAGAGTGAGCATGCAAGAATCAATAGAGGGGAGGATAAATGGAGAAAAGACAGACTGAAGCTGAGAGGTTAGAGGAGGGGCTATGATAAAACACTACACTACAGCTTTTTATTCCTTCAGCAAGTAAAGGCCTTTTCCCTCAGACCTCCCAGTCAACAAACAGCAGAGAGCTAGACAACCTAAAGTATGACCAAAGGCATCCTTGTGATTTTTGTTTTGTCGTTGTGTCATCTGATTGAGTATTTGTCAAAGATTGAAGTTACCTTTGTCACTTTTGTGTGTTTTTTTGCGCAGTCCCAGCTAAAATCCTGTCCTTTGGGGGCACAGTGACCACGCCCTGGATGAAAGAAGTGCGGCTGCCCTGCAGCTCAGTGGGAGAACCTGCCCCCATGATTAAATGGACCAAAGACAGGTCAGAGGTCATCATATACCATTTACATATCACCATTCAGATAGACACTGTTGTTTGTGACAACATCAAAAAAAGTAACTTACTTGTGCAAGTAACTTGGGATGAAGTTGCTAACATCTGTCTGTAATTTGTCAGTGAGAACTCGGCCAATCCAGTGACAGCTGACAGTCAGCGGCAGATCTTATCCAACGGCACACTGGTGCTACGTTCAGTCAAAGCAGAGGATTCTGGATACTACACCTGTACAGCCACTAACACCCTGGGCTTTGACACCATCATAGTCAATCTTGTGGTGCAAGGTAAGGAAAAACAGAGAGTGTATTTGAATGGAACTGACTAGTGGAAGACTTGTTTTCGTTGTAATAATATTTCTGCTCTGTTGCTGAGTTACTGCCTTCGTTGTGTACACCCAGTTCCTCCCGACCAGCCTCGTCTGATGGTCTCCACTACCTCCACATCTTCTATCACCCTGGCTTGGATTCCTGGGGACAATGGAGGAAGCTCCATCAGAGGTAATGCTCCTGACCAGAGTTTGTATAAACAGAAAAACAAAGGTGCAGCTCCTTCATGAACAAATATTGTTGACCATCCAGTTTTTGATTTCTTTGTTTTTCATGACAGATCTTATTTTAGTATTCTTTGCTCTCTTACAAATGCAGCATATAGCCTTGTAAACAATGAGCTTAATGTTTCTGGTTAAGTAGTGGGTAACCTACAGCAGATTGTAGCCGATTGTTGCCCCCTGGTGTTCAACAGATGTAGCAGCAGCAAGGATCCTATACAGTCTTTCATTTTTCTGATGTACAGTTGTTGTTGTTGTTGTAAAGTAAATGCATTTGACATAACATATGCTGTGTGACTCTGTAGGGTTTGTGCTCCAGTACTCCGTGGACAACACAGAGGAATGGAGGGATGTGTTCATTAGCTCCAGTGAACGTTCCTTCAGACTGGATAATCTGCGCTGTGGAACCTGGTACAAGGTCAAGTTGGCTGCCAAGAACAGTGTTGGCTCAGGGCGAATCAGTGAGATCATTGAGGCTAAGACCCATGGAAGAGGTAAGCGGTTCAAATATAAGTGTTAAAAATGTGGGGGCAGCAGAAAACAAGCAAAAGCAGATTTAAAATCCTACAACTCAGGGATTTCATTCTTTAATGAATCTGAATCATCTTAAATTTTACTTGTTTTTCCACTTTACGCAATATTTGTTTTACAAGTGGTTTTGCTGTGCCTACTTCACGCTAATAAACAATGGCCATTAATACATAGTCAAGTCTGGTGTGTGTGTCTTTGCTACTCTTCTCCATAGAACCAGTTTTCAACAAGGACCAACCACTGCTCACCCACATCAACTCCACTCATGCAGGGCTCAACCTGCAGGGCTGGACCAGCGGCGGCTGCCCCATCACTGATTTGATGTTGGACTTCAGGCCCAAAGGTACGTGGGCCTGGCAGAGCCTCAAGGCCAACTCCACCACTCAGCTCTTCCTCAGTGAGCTGCGTGAAGCCACCTGGTACGAGCTCAAAATGAAGGCCTGCAACAGTGCTGGGTGTGGAAACCAGAGCTCCCAGTTTGCCACTACTGACTATGATGGCAGTAAGTGAATCCTACATCTTATTCGATCTGTCCATTACTCTTCTGTCATCTCTACCTCCTGCACTGACTTCTTTGTATCTTTCTTTCTTTTCCTCATAGGTACAATCCCTCCAATTAAATCCGCTCGGGGAGAAGGTGATGATGTGAAAAAGCTGTTCTCCATTGGCTCTCCAGTCATCCTGGTTACTCTGGGTGTTGCTTTGCTTTTCATTATCCGCAAGAAACGCAAGGAGAAAAGGCTGAAACGTCTTAGAGGTGAGAGAAGGAAGCCAGTTCAAAAAGTTATCAGTGTTACTGTGTATAACAGATTAATCTGACACAGAGTGAAACAATGATCTTTACGATCATTCCTAATCTAATTAGAATATTTTCTTCTTATAGATGCTAAAAGCCTTGCTGAGATGCTTATCAGGTAAGACCCTGTTTGTAGAGATTTAGTTTTATGTCAAGGGATTAATATCTCAATAGGTCAACTTCATACATTTTTTGGAAAACCTTATTAGAGTCAGCAGTCTGATTTTATGTGTCATTTTCATGGTGTGTGTGTGTTTGTGTGTTCAGCAAGAACAATCGCAGTATAGACACTCCTGTGAAGGGACCTCCTCAAGGACCAAGGCTCCATATTGACATCCCACGTGTGCAGCTGCTCATCGAGGACAAGGAAGGCATTAAACAGATAGGCACGTTGCTGCACTCAACAGCAAGTCAAACTATTATTTTATGGCTGTGATTTTCTTTAAGCTTATATTCATGTACAAATGTCGTATTTCCTCATCACTTGTTTCCAACAGGAGAAGACAAGGCAGCTGTGCCAGTGACAGACACTGAGTTCAGCCAGTCAGTAAATCCACAGAATTTCTGCACAGGTGTGTCTCTGCACCACCAAGCTCTTATCCAGAATTCTGGACCTTTGATTGACATGTCAGACATCCGACCAGGCACAAGTGAGTGTGTTTCTCTTTTAAAGTATTATTTTAAAGCAAATATCACTGCTGAAAGAGGTTGAGCAAGTGGGTTTGGGTGAAAGATTTGCATTGCATGTCTTCTTATACCCACTTGAGTCATGAAGATGATGAGAAGGTATTTATTTTTGACAGTACAGGGATACAAAGCCTGTGTGATCACTGTGACCTTTTTCAGACCCTGTGTCCAGGAAGAGTATAAAATCTGCCCATAGCTCCAGGAACAGATACTCCAGCCAGTGGACACTAAGCCGGCCGAGTCAGAGCCAGTCGACAGCCTCAGCGCGAACTCTGACCTCAGACTGGCGAACAATGGGCTCCCATGGCATCACTGCCACTGAGAGTGACAGCTACAGCGCCAGCCTTTCCCAAGACACAGGTGGGCCATTCCCAGCCAGCAGCACTGACACAGTGGCACTACTACTTTATGTACTACTGCTGCCTCTGTCTCACTGCCGTTTCTTACACCAAGAAGCAGTCTTTAGTTTATCCTCATATCAAGTCAAGAAGAATATGTATAATGTATAGTGTACACCATTATATGCATTTTCAAATGATCACAAAAGAAAGAATTAGCAAAACAAGTACTCTTATCACCAACTAAATACATACTAACTACAGCATAACATCTTAATCGCATGCCACTAAACAGTAACAGTTAAGGAAATAATACCTTGCTAATAATTTGTTTTTCCAGATAAGGGTCGCAACAGCATGGTATCCACAGAAAGTGCCTCCTCTACCTATGAGGAGTTGGCGAGGGCTTATGAGCATGCCAAGCTGGAGGAGCACCTGCAGCACGCCAAATTCACCATTACAGAGTGTTTCATCTCTGACAGCTCATCTGATCAAATGACCACAGGCACCAATGACCCGGCAGACAGCATGACCTCCCTCAGCACACCGTCTGAACCAGGCATCTGCCGCTTCACTGCCTCACCACCCAAACCTCAAGATTATGATCGCGGTAAAAATGTGGCTGTGCCCATTCCCCACCGCGCTAATAAAAGTAAGTATGAAAGATGTATTAAGTCTTCCTTCTTCTTGATTTAGCACCTTTGATAATACATTTTGCACTCAATTCACATGTAGCACTGCATATTGTTAAGACACACGGTATAGACTGCAGATTATTGCTTCTCCTCTTGAGACCCAGTAATGCTCTGACACACAGGCAAATAAAATGGAACCAGAGACAGCTGAAGAGTGACATAAAATGGGAAAACTGGAGGAAAAAAGGGACCAAAAAGTCCCATCAACAATGCAAGGATAAAAGCCAAAGCGATTACACCAAACAGTTACAGAGAGGGGATAAACTGAACTCTGTGGTAATGTGGGAGTATACCACAGAAATGGTTTCATGACACAATAAATATGTTAATATCATCCAAGGCTAGGGAATGACACTGTATATGAATTATCCAAGTGGCACACAATAGGCTAGAAAGACTAACCACAGTCATGTGTGTTATATAGAAACATATGTATTAAAATGAAATTGGAAATCATTCATTTAAGCTGTCAATATGACACAGTTATCATTTTTATTTCCATATTTTTGTTTTGTTCTAATTTTTCTCATGCCTTTCTCAGGTGAATTCTGCAACCTACCCCTATACATGAAGACGGACCCGTTCTTCCGCAAGCAAGGGGAGCTGCATGATCCCTGCCCGGCTGTGCCACCGCGGGAAACCTCGATCCGCAGCTTGACGCAGCGAGTGTATCACACCCAGGGACGTCACAAGACTCTAGACCCCGCCAAGCAACAGGCCCTGACGCTGGGCCATTCTGGGCTGAGTAGTTTGGGTTCAAGCTCGGGCACTGCCACCTTGCCCCAAAGGACTCTGACCATGCCCAGCTCTAACACAGCAGCAACAGCTTCCACTTCCAGCACGAGCAGCAACCCCACCAACAGTAACAAAGTGGGGGGCTCCAGAGACTCCCTCCTAGAGAGCAGCTCCTCTGCCCTGGGGAGACTGCAGAAACAAAGTGTGGGCGCCTACTCCAAGTCATACACGCTGGTGTAGTCCTTTCTCTTGCACATAACTGCACTGCCGTCCCACTCCTCAGCCAGCCCCACACTGGTACACTTCAGTCTGGGCCAGAAGGGACATGCAACCCTTTTTTCTAAACCCAACTATAGGCGAACTGGCCCACATCCTATCAAAGTTTCCATGGGCTAGGCATTCTCCTAGACAGAGACCCAGCTAACCCTACTTCATGTTCACCTGGGACTCTGGGAATATAAAAGAACTACTAACACCAACTAATAGTTCCAGCCAGGTGGTGCTCAGCTCCGCTAAGTTTTTGTAAGAGTTGCACAGCAAAACAAAAAAAAAAAAAAGAAAGAAAGAAAGAAAAAACAAAACAAAAAAAACAGGAAGTGATTACGTGGTCATTTGGAAATATTGACTATAACTATGGATTTAACAGTTCTGTGTTTATGATGATGAAGACTACAATAGCCAGTATGAAGCTGTGTGGCCATCCTGTCTCACATACGCACACACATACTGTCCTCAATAGTTTGATTATTATTGTCAATTTGCAGGACATCCTGTTGAGTTCCCTATTCTTATCGTATCTTTCACCCTCTATGTGTCTCTTAAAGTCCCAAATATCTATTGGCAAGATTTTCTCCAAAAGAAATAATTCAGGTTCACTTCCAACAAAGATGCAGTTTTTATCACATTCATTTTTCCTCACAGTTCTCTCTCCAGCTGAACAGTGGTTCACTTTTTAAACTAATCATGACAACCCATATGAACATCTATAAGTTCTCACATTATAAATAGAGAATATTTGGTATTATAAAGAATATACATATATATTTCTATGTAGGTATATTATTGACATTTAAGTGAAATTATGACAAAGTATAAACTGTATGTACTACAATAGTCTAGTAGTATATACAGCAATTTAATGTTAATGTCAAATTTAAGAATGAGACAATCGCTCAGTCAAGAAATTTAAAAGAAAGAAAATTAAAAAGGTTGGACTAAAGACAAAGAAAGAAAAGTTTAGTGTAAATACACAGGATGTTCTGTATGTTACTGTATGTAGACCGACTAAGTGAAGAGGGTTTTGCTCCAGTGTGGACAGAGTGAGCCTTTCCAAACCCCATGTCGAGATGGGAAAAGCAAGGTAGGCTACTTAGTTTTAGTTTCAGCTCCTGAAAAGGCAGGCATGGGTAAACAGATTATAACCTCCCTGGTATGCAATGCCTGCGCTTTGCTGTGTGCGTTTGGAGGAAATAATTAAGGCCTCTGTTTGTGGTATGGATGACGGAGGCTCAGTCACAGATATAGCAACGTGTCCTACCGACTTTACAGTCAGCCTTAGTACCACTGAGCCAATCTTTGCCCTTCAAACAAAGACAACTAGCTGAAGGAATCCCAGTCATGATGTGAATGAAGTAAAATAATATAACGCTGAGAGATATTTTATGTCAGGGAGTTCAGTTTTGAAAATGATATAATGTTCACTTGATATCTATGTTGTTGCCCTGTCTGAATTACTGTACATGTCCCACTTTCCATGTCCATACCACTCCATTAACGTACATTCAAACAAGAACCTATTGAAATATCTTTTTGAAGCACCTCCATGACAGTTTTTGTGGCTTATATTTATTTATCCATTTGCTTTTTTTGCTTGTTTCAGGGTGAGGACATTTAATCGTCTGCTGATTTTGATTTAAAATGTTCATTTTAATTTGATGGGGTTTTGTCAAAATTCCAGAGGCCAAACAGTATTAGGGTACAGTGTGTGGTTTGTGGCTAAAACCGGTTCAGCCAAGTGAAATCAGGGACTTGTAGCTCTTTAGGTCACACAAACTACTGTTGTATTGTGTATATACTGGACTGGAGTCGATTTGTAGACCTGAAACAATCAGACCCATGTCCCTTTGCCATTTAGATAAATTAAAGTAAGAATTCACCACCCTAAACATACTAGATTCATCATCTACCTTTATCAGTGTTGTTTATAGATTAAGTCTTGTAAATAAAACACAGTTTTGTATGAAGAGCTATTTTCGTCAGAATAAATCAGGGGGCACATCAGGGTTGAATGCCCCAATTTCAAAATTGAAATCATATCAAAAATAAAATAAAGTATTTTACTTCTGAAATGGGCAAAAAAAAGAGAATTCCTTCCCTTTATGTTTTTGATACTAATTTGTTGAATTTTTATTCTTTTTTAAAGGTCTTTTGATGTTGTCATTTGTCCTATTTACTTTTTTATTATCATTATTTTGTATTTTGTTCATCCTCAAAAAAGTCACTGCATGCTTGCTAAAAGGGAAAAATTGAAGGAAAAAAATGTACGAAAATCAAAAACAAACAAAAAAAAAATGCTGAGGGTATCCCAAACATCTGTTTGAGTTGCTTGTTACAGCAATTGCTTGTGTTCAAAAGTACGTTTTCTATGAAAAGAAATCAAAAACTAAAAAGATCATTCTAACACCTTGTGCAATAAAGCTATCTTTCATATGTCATGGCTTCTGTCATTCTCAACAGGACTTTGAACCGATATAGAGTGCAGGTTTACTTGTGGTTCCTAGAGTCCACAGAAGCAGAATGGGAGGCAGAGCCTTTAGCTATCAAGCTCCTCTCCTATGGAACCAACTCCCAGTCTCAGTTCAGGAGGTGGACACCCTCTCTACCTTTAAGATTAGACTTAAGACTTTCCTTTTTGATAAAGTTTATAGTTAGCTTAATATAATATTGTTGTTCCATTAATATAATATCAGGGGCCGTCCTGTTGCCACTGAGTATATTTAACAATACCAGTGGTTTCCACAGGATGGCCTTTGCTTGGGCCAATGTAGTGGTATCTATGAAATTATTGGACATGTATTCTAGGTTAAGTTTGGTTTGGTGTACCATCCCTTAGTTATTGCCTTGGCTGAGGGTCATCCCATGGAGCTCCTCTCCTCTCCTCGCTCTCCATGCACTTATATGCCGCCATTACATGTCACTAACTTTGTGTCTCCTCTCTCCCGTAGTGTGCCTTCTCTCTCTCCCTGTTCCTTTCTGCAGGTAGCCCTGGCTCTGGAGCTGTGTTTCTGATGAGCAGCCATTGGCCACATCAGCCCGCTCAGTGTTTGATTGTTTGTTGTTGTGTCTTGTTGCTTTTCTTCTTTTGTCTCTCCTCTATCCACTCACCCCAACCGGTCGAGGCAGAAGGCCGCCAACCAAGAGCCGGGGTCTGTCGGAGGTTTCTTCCGTTAAAGGGAGTTTTTCCTCCCCACTGTCACCAAGTGCTTGCTCAAGGGGGATCTGTTGGGTTTTTCCTTGATAATAATAATATTATTATTAGTACTCTCTATACCTTACTTCGTAAAGTGTCTTGAGATTACTTTTGTTGTGATTTGGCGCTATACAAATAAAACCGCATTGAAATTTAATTGAATATTTGAGTCATCAGATTAACAGCCAAAGCAGCGTTTCATTCTAGCAAGAGCCTGAGAAGAGATGGTGAGAGTGCAGCAGGGTGCAACATGGATGGAGAATCACCAGACCACCCTGTGACTGGCTGGCATTACACCAACACAAAATCTAACTCTTAATCTAAAAATAGACTATAAAAGTATAAAGAGCTTGGCATTGAAACTGCAGCCACAAGATGGCATTGTATCATTATAGAGGCAGAGCCCTTCCACAGAGGTTAGCAGATACTTTGAGGAAAGTATTCTACTAAAGGATTGCAGTCACTCATGACGGATATGCTGTGAATAATTTATATTTTCCAGAGTCACCTGCACCTTTACCTTAATTCTACAGCTTCTAGTTCTGGCAGCAGAGAGCAGCAGACGTACGGTACAGTATATTCCTGCTTTTGCTGTGTTTGTTTACTAGGTTGTCAATCAGCAAAACGGTTTGAACCACACTCCACTACACCACAATGAAAAATGCAGATAATAATAGCTTGTCTAATGTACAGTATTGTCTGATGGCAGCAGGGTGAAAGGGGTTTTTCAAAAGCTGTCACGGGCCCTCAGCTTCATTTTCATACGATACTGAATTTTTAACCAACAAAATGACAAAATGGGAAGCCTGATACTCTTAATTCTTTGGTGCCACTGTCACAACAGTTGTAATCTAGCTGCTTTTGTGTGGCTTGTAAATTAGAATCATAAAATACATTTTTACAGTGAAGTTTCACATTTGAAGGTAACAAACTGACATTAATGGGTGGCGGTACATTCCAAATAGAAAACACACACAATGAAACACACAGGCACCCCAAGAAGGCTGAGGGCAATTTTACAAGATTTCATTTATTAACTATTATACAGTTCACATAAGGCCTTCATCTTCAAACACTATTCTCAGTCAGACCAATTCCATTGTTTGCTCTTGGTGCACAGTAAATAAACGTTCACGTTTCAGCTTTTCCACTTTAGTTTTCATTTTGTTCTTGTAATAATTTGTTTTAAAACAGGAAGAGGTTTTCATCCTTCTCCCTCTGTGTTTTTTTTAAGTCATGCACTAAAGTTAAGTGGCCTTGAACCATTCACAAAAATTGTAAAAATGGACTTTCAGTCAATGAAATACACACTAGAAATGCTTTCTACCATCAACTAAAGGGTGGTGTTCCCCAAAATACAAATAAACAACCATTATAGGGTAGTATGCACTCACTTTTTGCTCATTGAATGATTTGCTGTCAGAAGTTTGTCAGATGTCAAGTGATGCAGCGAGATTATATACTCCCAAGAGTTATTTTATAATGAGACAGTTGCTCAGTTGGTTCTGTGTTGGTTTTAAAGTTACAGCTGAGTAGAACCCTCAATTTAATCTGATGAGCACATAAAACAACAGACTTCCAACAGCATTGCGATTCCAAAAGTACCAGAAGTGATGGTCCTGATGATGCTAACCAATGATCTAACAGGAATGTTCGCTGTTGTAACCAAGAGATTCATAATCGTCCAGAACTTGTGTGTCTGGTTTTTACATGGCCCCACTGAAAAGGGAGTGCTTCCTCTCATACCGTAGGTTTACTGGTTAAAATCATCAGGTCTTCATTAACTTCATTTTCATGCTACCACTGAAAATGTGCAGCTTGTTATCGATAAAAACGAAGGACAATATGCCAGCATAAAACTAATTCACTAGAGCAGGCGAATGGCCGGTGGTGCTTCCTGAATGTGTCTCTTTCACAAATATTTAATTTCTACTGGTCATTTTATTGTATAGCAGGACTAGCAGTAACAGTGCATTGAGAATACTAAACCTTCTGAGTTAAAGGTCCTTAATATTAGATGAATACAGAGTTTGCTTCGATAGACAGCCACAGCAACACATCCAGCAACCTATCATGTTTCAAGCATTTGGTTTCCATGGACACCAGATGGCAATGTAGAGTCATGTTACAGTATGACTAGGTTACACATTCAAAAATAGCAAAGTTTCTCCTTCACTTGACTCATCTCTGATAACATAATGGTCTAATCAATCCAAACGTCCCTAAACATCCACTTTGATCAACCGACAGCTAGAAAAAGGACAAACTAAAAAAAGACTAGTTTTCACATGGCTGGATGAATGAGGAATATGAACAGATTCTGATTTCCCAAACTAACGACAGACCTCTGGGTCCACTTAAAGAACTGAAGTTTTTACAAAAGGATCTCGTCTCACAAGCCTGCACTGATGCCACACTCAGCCCCTAAACAAACAATATGGACAATTAATCAATGTGTTGTTCCTTCAGATTTAACACTACACTATCAAAAAGTGCTTCAGATACGTTTGTGGATACAAAAACAAGGTTGATGTAAACAAAGTTTGATCTGCCAAAGCTCTGTAGAGGCAATGGGTATGGCTGTTTGAGCTGTGAAATTAAACACATACACACGCACGCACACACACACACACACACAAACAGCATGTCAACAAATAAACCCTTTTGAGGGAAAAACAGTGATCATTAAAGTGCATCCCTGGACGTGTACCCAGCCTTTCCCTTCCCCTCCCCGTGTTGACCCCTCAAGTAGAGCTGATGAGAGAAACCCCAAAGGCAGACAGAGGAACCTCTGCTATGTGGAGCAAACTGCTGCCCAAAGGACCTACAGAGGAACAGTCTATAAATCCAGTGGCAGTACTTTCATGAGGAAAAAAAAAAACTGTTTTACACAGATAAAACATGGTGGCACAAATTGTTTCTTCCAGCTTGGCATAGAGGCTTCTGCTTCTTGGTAGGGTGTGATTAGCGGTGGCTGCTGACAGAAGAGGGGCTTGCTGTGACGGCGACCTCTGTCCTCCACTTTGGCCCTGATGTTCCAGGTGATCACGGGCTCGGGCGGCAGAGGAAGAGTCACTGCTAAGGGCAGCCTGCCCTGATGCACACAAGTATGGATACAAATGGCAGGTTGGGGTAGCTTCTCAGACACCTCCTGTCTCCTCTCTTCATAATCTTGGTTGTCCATGATCAAAAATGTACTGTGCAAGTGCACAGGTTTGTTTTGTTTTTTTGTCATCTTTTTTTTTTTTT